AAAGAAAGAAAGAAAGAAAGAAAGAAAGAAAGAAAGAAAGAAAGAAAGAGTTGGAGAGATGGGAGAGGATGCCTGGAAATTTGTTGAGCTCTGGGCTTTATTAATCCAAAAGATAAAAGAATAAAACTTAAATCCATTGTGCTTCTCTGTCATGATTTAAACATATCTTGAGCTTGTAAGAAAGGCATGTGATTTTGCTGGAACAGCAGCTCAGTGCTGTTTCCATTTGTCAATCAAGTTGCTAAAAGCATACTCAAGGAAGTGCCAGGAGGATGGGAGTAAGAAACGCTGGAAAAACTACGGTACCATGTCTTTGCTGCTGACACTGCATTTCTATCTACAGCCTGATGTGGAAGTTGTACAGAGAGAGCACACGGGCCATATGATCACATGGACAGGCTCAGGCTTCGCCCGTGTGCGCGATGGGGCTGGACTATCCTTCCACATTGACAACATTCCTTACCCAATGGAATATGGCATCTTGTTCCGCTATGAGCCTGAGGTGGGTAGAAATTGTTGGAGGGAAGACGGGTGGGCTTTTGACAGGCGAAGTCCTGACCTTATCTTCAGCGTGTGCATGGGAGCAAGAATGATTTATTACAATAAGTAGCAAATCATTTTGGAGGAAATCTTTAAAATTCATTTTTCTAATAATTGATTATCTACTGTATACTTGTCCTTTTCAAGAATACATATTATAGGTCATAATTAGGTCAAAATGCTAAGATTAAGAAATGAACGTGGGTCTTGTATTTTTAACCACAGATCTGCATCATGTTATTAATAGGTGATAGTAAAAAAAAAAAAGAAGCAAAGTAAGTTATTTAGTGTCAGGTGCAAGCAACCAGAACTGCTTGTGAATTAACAGAAGCTGTATTGTTAGTTGCCCAATGTTACAAGAATCACACCAGATAGACTAGAATTTACATTGTCCTGGGAATGGTCAGATAAGGCTTCAAGGATTCTGGGGAAAGTCAGGCCTATGCCACCTTCTACAGTGCAATGACTCTAAGCTAAGTCCTCTCTTAATACCTCCTTCCAGTCGAGCTGGAGATTCCACCACCAGAAGGGATCTGCTATAATTTTTGAACCTGGAGTATTGCAATGTGATATACTGTATATCTGGACTGTTCCAAGAGGAGAGATTGTTAGGAATATAAGTCACCTAACAGGTATTTGAGTTGGAAATATATAAACCAGGATAGACATTTTAATACTGTATCTTTAAGAGAGTCCTGAAGGTGTAATTGGGTGTGGTTTCTCAAACGGCCATAAGATGGAGCCAGAAACCTGGGTTGTCTTAGTCTTAGTCTCAGGAGAGAGTGTGTCTCAGTGAGTCTCTTTTTTCCTTCTGTTGGAGAGTTTTGCCGTTCCTCCATTTTTCTTCTAATTGACTGATATTCCTGGATTTGATGTAAGTCTGATACTGTTTTTGACACTGGACTTTGTTATTGGATTATCCCTGGACTGAAAAATGACTGATTTAACCTGTGAATGACTTTGGACTGCCTATCTTGAACTTTGGTTAAATCTTTCTGGAAGTAAAAACCTACATTTACTGTACAGTGTATCTGTGTGCTGTGTGTGTATTATTCAAACACTCCTCTCAAATACGTCTCCCTGTATGCGCTCATTCTCCTAACGGGGAATTACCTCAATAGAGATGCTCTCAATCCATACATGTGTACATTTGTAATTAACAAATCTGTCCCTTGTTATTATTAAAGTCTACATATATAAGGCCAACTATGACCTTCAGCTTTGCTGATAGTGTAGTTTCTTTGGAAAGATCTTGGAAGTGGTTTGCCCTTGCCTCCTTTCTAGGGCTGAGAGAAAGTGACTGGCCCAAGATCACCCAGCTGGTTTTGTGCCCGACACAGGACTAGAACTCACAGTCTCCTAACCTTATACCTTAAACACTACATCAGGCTGGCTCTGATGATGGTTTTGCTGGCAGTGAAAATATTTAAATCATAGAAAACCAGAGTGATGAACATATTACATGGTTATTCTGGGGCAAAAGAGACTCAGATTCAAGTCCATGTTAGGTTTTTGAACTCACTGCATGTAATTAGTATGTGAAAAAGATCTTGAGAGATGGTGCGAAGACATTCTGCCAGGGGAATGGTTAGATAAGAGACAGCACAGCCCACAGCTACATAATGGGAAGAGAAAGAAGCCCAGAAGGGACCCTAACTAGCTTTTCAGGCTGTAAAAGTGGGAAATTTCCACATGGACACTTGCACATTTCTGAAGATTAAAATTTTATTTATTACTATCAGCATAGGGCCTACTATTAAATGCAGATTCTCAGGGAGGGAAAGGGGAAAAGAGAAGTGTAGAAAAGAAGGGAGAAAAGGGGGAAAAAGGTGTTGATTTCCAATTCCATCTGTTGCAGTAGAATAAGACATTAACCTTGAACCTCAGCTTTTTGCTTTTCCATAATAGTATAAACTACCATTTCTAAAACAACAAATCAATCTAATCAGTAAAACCCCAAATCAAAGTTTCATTTCCCCCCCCACCACAAGCACAAAGTCCAGAAGTGGTTTCCAAGTAGAAACAAGACTTGTATGTTTCTATTCATATCGGCTTACAATAAAACAGAATTAGCTCATCTGGTCACGTTTCCCATCTGATCTACTTGGGAAGGTTGCTATCACATGACTTTGAGCCAGCCACTTTCTTTCAGCAAAATCTGTTTCACAAGTTGATTGTTATGAGGATAATAGGTTTCACCAAGATTTCCTTTAGAGAAAAAAAAGGGCTACGATAATAATAAATATTTGGTCAGGTTTTAGGGGTTTCAAAACCAAATCTATCTTTTTTTTTATTATGGATTCAATTTTTGTGATCACTGATTTGTTCTTTAATAATGAACCATATGAACCTTTTTTGAGACAGAAAGAGTGATGAAGTTTGGTGCAGTGGTTAAGGTGCTGGCCTGAAAACTAGGGGAATGGGAGTTCTAGTGCTAGTCTTTGGCCTAAAAGCCAACTGGATGACTTTGGGCAGTCACTCTCTCTCAGCCCAATTCACCTCCCAGGTTTGTTATTGTGGGGAAAATAGGAGGAAGGAATATTATGTATGTTTACTACCTTGAATTACTTATAAAGTAATAAAGGTGAGATAAAAGTACAGTGCATAATAAATAAATAGGGTTCTCAAGAAGGATCTCCATTCTGTGTGAGAATTTGAGACGGCTATTATTTATTCTGGAATCCTGTCTTTAAACTGCTTGTATCTCCTCTTCAGTCCACAGAAGATTGGGAAGTTGTTGTCGGTGTCAGCTCGCAGGACCTACCAGTAAGTCCACGTTGTGGCAATTTGCTGCCCTCTGAGCAGGTGTATCAAGGGAGCTTGCCCCATACCTCCAGGTGAGGGGAAAAAAGATGGGTGCTGGTGGGCAATGTTTGTGGACACAAGAGATCTTAACCCAAAATGTTCTTTAATTTTATTCCAAACAGCTTACTCAATGGGGAAGTATATTACAGAGCCTATTACTGTTTGTTTTCACTGTAGGCTTCCCGTCACTAATGATCGTTCTTAAATTGATGGATTAGGATGCACCTGACAAAATGAAACAGTGCTGTGGGCTGAATTCTACATTTTCCAGAGTCCTTTGATACTCAAGAGAATATGTTGTTCGGCAGATGAATGTCTGCAGAGAGGCTCAAAATGTTAGGATGGAGCTGTGATCATGCGCTCAACACTTTGCCTCTTTTTATGTGTGTTACATGTTAAAAAGCTGTGGGACTTTGATCAAGTGGATGCAGCTGCCATCTTTAACTTTTTGACATTTCATTACCAAACTGGGTAACATCATCAGTGCTTACCTACAAAATACAAAAAACTACAGCAAACAAAGTGCTAAAATTTTCTGGAAAATAGTAATTATTCATTTTTAATAAGGCACTGTCCAATACTCTGACTTTCTATCCTTAAGGGATTTTTACTGGTAAGGAAAAGATGGAAGAAGGTGTGGGGAAGGAAAGAAGGGTTAAAAATGAAAGATAATGGCACCTGGTGTCTCTTTTCCGAATGAGGTAGTTAGGTTGCCAAATAATGACTTAGCCAACAAGTCTCTTTACCCATGTTCCAATTGTAACATTGTAAGGTTGAAACTTGTGTTTTGGCACAACTGACTTTTCTTTCATCTGGATATTTGGTGCTGGCTCGACTGACTTTTTCCTATAATTAAATGAAAAGCTCCTGTTTTATGTGGTTAGAAAGTTATTGATATTTTGGTTTGGCTAAGGGCCTCTACGTGTGCCAATGGAATTCTATTCTGCATGAGACTTTGCCTCATCACTTCCATGATTTCTTTCTAAAATACTTACTAACTCGATATTTCTTTTCAGAGGCTGCTGCTGCTGTCTATTCTAGTTTTTAAAAAAAAGATTGTATGGCTTATTTCTCTACATACAAATTCCATTTTGTATGAATTTAGCTTCTAGCATTTGTGAGAGATTGTGATCAATGTATGGATTTCCTTTTCTCTGGCTTTTCAATCATGTTCTATTTCTTTTCACTTTATAGATTCTCTCTCTCTCCCTCTGCCCCTCCCTCTCCCTCCCTCCCTCCCTCCCTCCCTCTCTCTCTCTCTCTCTCTCCCCCCATGTCCTTCTTTCTAACAAGATGCTTAATAGTTTGACTTACCACATGGCCTGCTAGGTGATCTGGTCCTACACCTCCCTTCTCAACATGGTTCTCTTTGATCTTCAGATCTGGCAAGTGCAGATATCAATTCCCCAAGCCTACTATCATAACTGTCTTCATTTATGAACTGGCCTTTTTTATCCTGCCAGCATCTGTCTCTACCCTAATGCATTCTGTGTTTTTTTCTTTTTCCTGACAAGATCTTTGCTTATCGTTGTTCCCCAGATACTTGCTTCTACCGAAGCCTTTCTGCTTTGAACCCAGAAACCATTACAAGATCGTCGTGCGGTTCCAAAGAGCAGGCGTAGCACAACGGCATCCTGCAGCTTTCATCCTGGTAGACTCGGTGAGAACCCCTTTCTCTTAAGGAGCAGCCCAGTGCTCCGCTGGGGTCTAAGCTACTTTCCTTGAGTCTTATACTAATGTCTCTCAAGGATAGTCATCTCATTTCGTTCTCTCTCCTGTTTTAATGTGTAGGTAGTGCTTGATTCATGACCACAGCTGCCAGCAGAAATTTCTGTTGCTAGCAAGACGGTTGTTAATGAATCACGCCTGATTTTACACCCTTTTTTTTTGCCAGGGTTGTTAAGCAAGTCACCATAGTGGTTAGGTGAATTGCAAAGTCGTGAAGTGAATCCATTTTCCTCCATTGATTTTCCTTGTTTGAAGACAGCGGGGAAGGTCACAAATATTGATCATATGACACACACACACACACACCCAGGATGCTGCAACTGTTGTAAATACATCCTGGTTGCCGAGGGCCCAGGTTTTGAGGATGTGTGACCCTGGGGATGTTGCAATGGTCATAAGTACAAGGACCAATTGTAAACCTTTTTTCCCCCAATGCTATTATAACTTGAAACAGTCATTACATGAATGGTTGAGGGTCAAGGACTGTTATGTACTTGTTTTGCATACTCGTGATACTGCAGTCCTATTGGACAGATACTGCCGCCAACCGATTGGTAGATAACAACAGTTCTGATTGGCTGCCTAAGCGGTGGGAGTTTTAAATAAATGCCATTGGTTGCGAGCCGCGAGCAGCCGCTATAAAAAGGGCTGCCGCGGCTCGACTTTAGTTGACGTTACTAACAGTTAATAAAGAGCTGAATTCAATTCCGGTCTCGAGTCTTCTTTGTTCTGGCGATAGAACAAGGACTACCTGTATTTTGATGATTATTTTTGTATTTCTTTGATTTTCTTTGTCATTTTCTTTTCCACTTTGTTGGTGGAACTCTGGGTGTGGGTGTTTTAATCCATAAACTACTGGAAAACAAATTACGGTCTGGTGAACAGATAGCCCTTTGACTTACGATCTTACAATTGAGTGCAACATTTCTGCTGCTAAACGAGACGGTTAACTGAGTTCTGACCCATTTTACGGCCTTTCTTGCCACAGTGGTTAAGGGAATCCCTGCAGGTCTTACGTTTAGTAACACGGTCGTTAAGGGAATCTGACTTCCCCCTTGATTTTGCTTGCTAGAAGGTCACAAGAGGTAATCCCTTGACTCTGGGGTATTCCAACTGTCTGTCAACTAAAAGGATACTCCTTTGGTCTTTTTAGCTGCCAGAAAAAGGGAGTGGGGGGGAAACAAGGCATTCTTGTCAGAGCATAAGAAGGTTATTGGAGAGCATGATGGATGACTCTTGGAGACTGATGTGTCCCATTGGAGAAGTCACATCCAGGGGGTGGGGGGAAGACCAGGGTCAAGGGGGAAATGTATGATGTGATTTAGTATCGGCTGCACCCAGCCATGCGTCAACATGGCCACCCCTAATAAATCAATTTACTTTTCTCTGAGATGCAGCTAGAGACTTTTGATTTGAATGAGGGTGGATTTGTTGGAGCCCTGACACCGTCGTGATTCTGAACCAGTTGCCAGGCACCCAAATTTCAAACACGTGACCATGGGGACGCTGTAATGGTCATAAGTGTGAAAAACAATCACAAGTCACCTTTTCCAGTGCCGTTGTAACTTTGAACGGTCATTAAACGAACGGTTGTAAGCTAAGGAAGACCTGCAATGTGTTAATGTGTCAAGCTCCCTGAGCATTTTGTGAATGGAAAGATTGAATGAGAGGTAAATGAGGTAAATAGATGGTGGGGGGGAGAGAGAGAGAGGGAGGGAGGGAGAGAGGGGAGAAGAGAGAAGAGAGAGAGAGAGAAATGAGAGGGAGAGAAGAGAGAGAGAGAGAAAAGAGAGAGAGGAGAGAGAGAAGAGAGAGAGAGAGAGAGATTTGACAGTGTTTTTTTCTTCAGGATCCAATCTGGGTCAGTCACTGGCACCAGAGATTTAGTCTTCTGAGCTTTCGGGCTCATGCTGGAGCTCCTCCTCAGAACCGGTGAGAAAGAAGTTCCCTGAGGATAGGCTCCAGCACGAGCCCGAAAACTCAGAAGACTGAACCTCTAGTTCCAGTGACCGACCCAGATTGGATCCGTCAACATTATCCTGGGACATGTATCTTTGCCTCCGTACGTGTTTTTTTTCCCCCTCTAAGATTTCCTCCTCCTTTTATCCCACACAGCTGGTTCTCTTACCCCATGTGACAGAACTTCCTGGTTTCCATGGTGACAACCCAGCTTCCGTGGAGCGCCGGGAGGCCCTGGAACACTACACTTGCCTGGAATTGTTTCGCATGGCCACCATGCCTGACTTGCCCGAGACCTGTGCCCGCCTGCTCTGCAGCATTTCTGCCCTGATCCATGATGGGGGTCTGTGTAAGTGAAAGGATGCCCCCCTCCAGGTGGGAGAGGGCCAGTGTCTCATTCCCCAAGGGTGTTGAATTCCAGGAAGCATCAGCCCAAACTTATATGGACCGATGGTGGGAATTCCAGCGAGGCAAACAGCTTTGATCTTCTCGAATCTGGTATTATAATGCTATGGGCAAGGATAGAGCCCAGTGTCTGAAAAATTAAATGGGGACAAACGTAGCAAAATATTTCCTATAAATCAGCAAGTTTTGGACTGAAGGATGGAAGTTTCCTCAGGGTGAGCTCAATCTGTGCATAAGAATACAGAATAACAGCGTTAGAAGGGGCCTTGTAGGTCATCTAGTCCAACCCCCTGCTCAAGCAGGAGACCTTATACCAGGGGTGTCAAACTCACGTCGTCACGGCATAATCATGTGACATATCGAGACTTTTTTCCCCTTCGCTAAACTGGGCTTGGGTGTGGCCAGCATGTGATGCATCCGGCCCGTGGGCCAGGAGTTTCACAGCCCTGCCTTCTATCATTTCTGACAAGTGGCTATCCAGTCTCTTCTTGAGAGTTGATGAAGCTCCCACAACTTCCGAGGGCAAAGCTGTTCCATTGGTTGATTGTTCTCACTGTCAGAATGTTTCTCCTTATTTCCAAGTTAAAACTCTCCTTGTTCAGTTTCCATCCATTATTCCTTGTCTGGCCTTCAGGTGCTTTGGAAAATAGCTTGACCCCTTCCTCTCTATGGCAGCCCCTCAAATATTGGAAGACTGCTATCATGTCTCCCCTGGTCCTTCTCTTCACTAGACTAGCCATGCCCAGTTCCTGTAACCGTTCTTATGTTTTAGTCTCCAGTCCCCTAATCATCCTGGTTGCTCTTCTCTGTACATTTTCTAGAGTCTCAACATATTTTTTATAGTGTGGTGACCAAAACACCTAAGGAGGCATCACAAGAGAAGTATAAGAAAGGGAATTTTCCTATGGATGATTGTTTCTGAATTCTGCAGTCAGAAAACATTATTTCCAGACCTGAAATGTCTTAAAATATACAATCATCAAGTCTAGAAACCTTTAAAATTTTCAAGCTAATAAAGCAAATGCTTGATAATATCAGGAATGTGATTTCCTGATTACTGCTGAAAATCATGTCTTGATTCCTTGATTATTTTATTATCTCCATTAGCATTTTGGAGTTCTGCTGCAGAATCTACTGCATAGCATAAGCAGGCGTGTCCCAAATATTGCTTGCCTTTTGAGTCAGCTCTAGAGGGAGGAGTTTTATTCAGTCTTCCAGGGAGGCATTTTCTCACATCCTTCACCTTGTGACCCCAAAATCCAAGATCAGTCCAATCTTACTTGATTGCAGGATGCCTTTTATGTTCCACCTATAACCCTAATTCTTGCATTGTTGTATTTTTCTTCTCCTAAGCCTGTCAATGTGACCTCCAGGGTTCCACCAGCAGCGTCTGCCATAAACTGGGAGGACAGTGCCAGTGTAAGCCCAATGTTATGGGTCGGCAATGTGACCAGTGTATCCCAGGCACTTACGGATTTGGACCTTACGGCTGCAGCTGTGAGTACCTAAGGCTGGACCTGCCTCATTTTTATCTTTTTTCAAAATGGATGCCTGACAGGAAACACACGAGCACAGTAACAACCAGCATTCTAAGTCAGAGAGGAATGAAACATCTGGCTGAAAACAGGATACTTTTTTTATAGTGTGGCACAAATGATGTTAGCTTTGATATAGATTAGATCAGGGGTGTCAAACTTGATTTCACATAAACCAAGGACTGCCTGTATTGACACAAATTACGTCCATCCCTGCAATTCCATTCTCATTCTCATTGAATAAGGATGAGCTTTCCTGACCCACCATCAGAATAAGGTCTCTGTAAGCAGTGGACTTTTCCCCTTCAACCGAAAAGAATGAACTTCTGAAAGCTAGGTGCTTCGAAAGGAGTTCTTTATTGAAAGGAAGTGAGCCCAGTACTAGTCAAAGCAGAATCTAAGATGCTTCCAGGCATACAGTAATAGATAAAGGGAGTTAGAACTCCTCCCCTTATTCTGATGTGGATTTAGTCAAACCAAGAACCAATATGTTAATTCCCTACCCCCCTTTTTTCTGGGAATGTATCTTAGAAGAGTTTCCCAGGGAGTATCTTTCAGAGCTGGAATTTTTATGGTCCCTTCTCCTCTTGCTATCTCTCCAAGAGGTGACAAGTTTCTAGACATCTGGCTCCAGTCCTCCAGTTGTATATCATGTGCAAGTTATACAGAATCAATATAAGATTTAAGATATTCAGGTTACATCAAAAAGGATTACTTGTACCAATTCCCCCCCGGCCCTTCTTCTTACATTGAAGAATAGCAGATACACGGATCTGACAGTCTCCATGTTTGTTGATCCCCCAGTTCAGCCGATCACTTTTGAGTGCATTTCTCTAGTTGGATACCATAGAAATGATCCCTGAAAGTTCTACTATGACTCTTGTTTTCACAGCCTGTGCTTGTTCCCCTGAGGGTTCGATCTCCAAAATCTGCAACCCAGTAAGTGGGCAATGCCGATGCCAGCAGGGTATCGTGGGACGCCAGTGTGATCAGTGTCCACCAGACCAGTGGGGCTTCCCTCACTGCCGTCCTTGTCACTGTAACGGGCACGCAGAGAAATGTGATTCACACACCGGAGCCTGTCAACAATGCCGAGATTATACAGCAGGCCGCCATTGTGAAAGGTGAGCATGGCAGACGAATGGAAAGTTAGAGTAAGGCCCCACTTCATTAAGCCATAGGAGAAATGTTGTGCTGAGAATGATTAAGCATTTCTAACAAATAAAATGATTTGAGTGATGTATCTACGAGGGCTATCCACAAAATAGATTACGTTTTCGTCTGTAGCAAGAAGGGGCCGAGCTAGCGTGGCCATCTTTGGTCTGTGCGTCCGCCGCTCAGTCTGCATCTAGTCGTGCTAGTGGGAGGTTCGTATCGTTGCCCATTATTTCACAGCAAACGTTTGAAATGTGTGCTGCAATTGAAAATCCCGCGAGTTGTGAGGTGCGATCAGTGATAAGGTTTTTGTTGGCAAAAAACCATAAACCGATTGAAATTTTTCGGCAACTGTGTGAAGTGTACGGGGACAACATCATCACTGAAGGTGGAGTGCGCCAATGGTGCATTAAGTTTAAAAATGGCCGAACTACAGCACTCGAGAAGTCCTGAATGGTTTCAAGTGGGAGATTTTTCCTCATCCGCCCTACAGCCCCGATCTTGCACCAAGCGACTACCACTTGTTTCCGAGGATGAAGACCTGGCTTGGAACACAGCGCTTTGACGACGACGCGGAACTGCGGGCGGGCGTGACTGACTGGCTCAAATCTCAGGCGGCTGAATTTTATGACAATGGAATTACAAAGCTTGTTCACCGCTATGATAAGTGCCTCAATTTGTTCGGTGAATATGTTGAAAAGTAGTATTTAAGTGTCACTTTCAAGTGTATATAATAATTTTTTTTCCCTACACTTTGTTTTTTTTCTATCGCAAAATGTAATCTATTTTGTGGATAGCCCTCGTATTTATGCTGGGCAGAATTATGATCAAAGATACAAATGGTATTTTTTCCCCCCATCTTGTTCCTTGAGGCAATCTAGAGGAGTCTTTCATTTATTCTCCCCTAAGAATGGTGTTATTCTTACTTCATAGATATCAATCTTCAGGGGAAGAGTTGAGCTGAACTTGCAGAGTTATTTTAGGAAGAACCCGTGTGACATCTACAATCCAGCTAGAGTCTACAAGGAGATGATAGATAAATTGCATAACTAAATAAACAATTGATGGCATAAGAAGTTTAACAGAAAGTAGGTTACCTATGAGTTTGAGGTGGGAAATGTTAAAAAGGAATATGTTGGGAGTCGCTGTAGAGTGCAATATTAATTTGTAGAGTCATAGAAATTGTGAATTAAAAGACACTTATAGGTCATCCAGTCTAACCCCTTACTCAGTGGTGGGACTCATCTCTGGAGGGGATGAGTCTGCCTATTGTGATGAGGTAGACCGGTTGCTTTCGTGGTGTGGAGACAATAACTTGGTCCTTAATGCCAATAAGGCAAAGAGCTTATAGTGGACTATAGAAGGAACAGATCAGACATCCAGCCCTTGATTATCAATGGAAACCAAGTGGAGCAAGTGGCCATGGGTGTTACCATAAAAGAGGACCTGACCTGGGATGCTCACATTGCAGCACTGGTCAAAAAGGCCCAGCAGAGATTATACTACCTGAGGCTTCTCAGGAAACAACAACTGAATGAAAAACTGCTGGTGATCTTCTACCACTGCACCATAGAGAGTATTTTAACTTACTGCACCTCTGTATGGTTTGCCAATTGCACAGTGGCAGATAGGAAAGCACTCCAGAGGGTTAACGTCATTGCCCAGAAGATCATTGGTTGCCCTCTCCCCTCTTTGGAAGAGCTTTATAGCTCCCGCTGCCTTAAGAAAGCTCAAAACATTCTCAAAGATCCATCTCATCCTGGGAACCCTATTTTTGAACTATTACCATCTGGCAGACGGTACAGGAGAATAAAAACAAGGACAAATAGGCTGAAAAACAGCTTCTATCCCAAGGCAGTAACTATATTGAATACTACTGTATAGTGCAATATTAATGCCATATCAGGTTTTCAATTCAATTGTATAGAATGTGAAGGATGTGTGTTTGTGTTTTATTTTTATAGTTATAATGTACACTGAAGATGGCGTTTAATTTTGTTGTATGAGGTGCAATGACAATAAAGTAAAGTAAACTAAACTCAGGCCTGAAATCCAGTAATTAATATCCATCAAGTAGCAATAGAGAACCTATTTCAGACCTATAGTGATTGGGAGTCTACCATTATTCTAGGGAAGACAACTCTTCATCATCAGGAAATTCCTTGCATTCTTCAGCCCAAATTTCAACCCATCTCTTTGGTCCTTTTCTTGTCCTTGGTTTTCAAAAGAGAAGAAGTTCAGAGCTCTTTTGATATAGGTAAACTGTTGTCATACAAACCATCAGTATTCTACAGGTAGTCCTCGACTTATGACCACAATTCGGTCCAAAATTTCTGTTGTTAAGTGAGACATTTCTTAAGTGAGTTTTGCCCCATTTTACAAACTTCTTTGCCTCTGTTGTTAAGTGAATCTCTGCAGTTGATAAGTTAAGTGAATCTCTGCAGTTGATAAGTTAGTAATAAGTTTGTTAAGTGAATCTGGCTTCCCCATTGACTTTGCTTGTCAGAAGATTGCAAAAGAGGATACGGTCATAAGTATGAGCCAGTTGCCAAGCATCTGAATCTTGATCGTACGATCATGGGGATGCCACAAAGATTGTAACTGTGAAAAATATCACTTTTTCACCATTCACTTTTTCACATAAGTCACTTTTTTCAGTGCCGTTGTAACTTTGGATGGGTCACCAAATGAACCATTGTTAAGTCGAGGACTACCTATATTTTGTGAGACCTTCTCCTTCATTGGAACTTATAATGTTGGTAGTGCTCCACAGAATCTTCTGCAGCAAGGTTTTATATACTATGGATCATATGAGTGCCCATTCTGGACCATACTAATTTGTGAAAAATAATCTTGAAAAAAATCACGATCATTTCAGAGGCCTGCCATTGCTTGGACTTCTGTTTCCCTTGCAGGTGCCTGGATGGATACTATGGAGACCCAGTCCTGGGATCAGGGCAACAGTGTCGGCCGTGTCCTTGTCCTGGATATCCAGGTTCTCGTCACTATTACGGCATTTCGTGCCAGGCTGACAGAGGCACAAACCAGATAGTTTGCTTGTGTGCTCCTGGCTACACAGGTAAGGTATATGTTAAATTCTCACTTAACGACCAGTTGCTAACGCCACAGAGCTACTTTATTTATTTATTTATTTATTTATTTATTCATTCATTCATTCATTCATTCATTCATTCATTCATTTATTTATTTATTTATTTTATTAGATTTGTATTGCCTCCTATTCGCCATGGCGACTCAAGGCTGCTTACAACCTATAAAACCACAATTTAAAACAATAAAACTTGTAAAATCAAATAAATTAATATAGTAAAATCACACACACCCTCCTCTCCTTGCCCCAGCGACAGCAGATCACACGAGCCATTTAACAGGCTCCATCCCGCTCTGGGTTCCCCAGGCCTGCCAGCGGAACCAGGTCTTCTTCGACGCCTTTCGGAAGAGTATTAGAGAGGGGGCCATTCTAATCTCTGTGGGGGGGGGATGATGTTCCAGAGAGAGGGAGCCACCATGGAGAAGGCCCTTCTTCTGGGTCTCACCAGGTGTATCTTCCTCAGGGATGGGACCCGCAACATTCCCTGCCTCCCCGTTCTGATGGGCCAGGTAGATGTGACTAGCAAGAGATGGTTCCCTCAGATAGCCTGGTCCCAAGCCATGAAGGGCTTTAAAGGTGACAACCTTGAATTGCACCCAGAACTTTCTTACAAGAACTTTCAAAGTTCCAACAGTTCCAACAGTCATGCGACCCCATTTCATAACTGGGTTGTGTTTACGGCCACTTGTGATGTCCCAGGCTTTTTCTTTTTTTGCTGTCTTGAGCATTTATTTCTGGCTTCTGGCAAAAAAAAAAAAAAAAGCCCATTGGAGAACAGGGGTTTGTTTAACAACTATGGCATTCGCTTAACCATCATTGCAAAGAAAGGTCACAAAATCAGGTGCCTAACAACTACCATGACTTGTATCTGTAATTACAGGCTCAGTTACGGTTGTAAGTTGAGGACTACCTGTATCCTGGGGCAAGGAAGGTGTATGATTGCCGCAATAATTTAAGTTTCAGAATTCGGTGATGCTCCATCCTTTGCAAGCCCACTTTCTCCAGTATCCCTTTGAAGTATTATCGGACTCTTGGCACAGTTATGCTAAGTTGACCTGCCCATCATGTGACTCAGCAAAAGAATACAGTCAGCAGATGCATGAGACCTCCTATGTCTTTTTGCAGACCGATGCAGGGAGCAGAAACTGTAGTAGCCCCACGGAGATACTTGTGCCGTCTTGAGACTTGCAAGCCAATCCCTGGATTTATTTTCTGCTAATTTTCCCTCCCTCCCATGCACATACAGAGGTACACTACACATCCAGCTGGGACAGTGAATTTCATTATTAGCAATAAGACTTAGACTTATATACCGCTTACAGTGCTTTTTACAGCCCCCTCAAGTGGTTTTTACAGAGTCAGCCTCTGGCCCCCAACAATCTGGGTCCTCATTTTACCCACCTCGGAAGGATGGAAGTTGACCTTGAGCCTGGTGAGATTTGAATTGCAGTCAGCCGGTAGGCAGCAGAAGTAGCTGGCAGTACTGCATTCTAACCACTGTGCCACCGTGGCTCCTTAGTACAATATTAGTACAATACTTTTTCAGGCCTTTGGATACCAGAATTCCTATGAATCCAAATTTCCTCCACCAACTTCAACCCCAACCCCTCCTCCCAATTTCTCCGAAATCCATTAATATTGGCTGATTGTGAAGTAGCAGAGGAAGAGGAAGGAGAAAGTTCCATTTAAAAAAATAAAAAATAAAATCTCATGGATAACTTGCTCTTTTTCCTGCAGGGCCACGATGTGATCGCTGTTCCCCTGGCTATTTTGGAACCCCTGGGCAGGAAGGGGGTGCCTGCCGCCCTTGTCAGTGTAACAATAACATTGATCCCAGTGACCCCGAGGCCTGTGACCCACATACTGGTCAGTGTCTACATTGCCTTTACAACACCGGTGGACCCCACTGTGCTGAATGTCAGCCTGGCTACTATGGCAATGCCTTTCAACGGAGCTGCCGACGTGAGTGAGATAGCAATAAGCAATAGCACCGAGACTTATATACCGCTTCAACAGTGCTTTTACAGCCCCTCTCTAAGCGGTTTACAGAATCAGCCTATTGCCCCCAACAATCTGGGTCCTCATTTTACCCACCTCGGAAGGATGGGAGGCTGAGTCAACCTTGAGCCAGTCTGCAGGGTTGTCTTAACGCATGGGCCTGATGAGCACTTGCCGGTGGGCCCCACGAGCATAGGGGCCCCATACTAATCTGTGTATGTTAACCCTTCAATGCACCTTGTATCATATAAATGCAGCAACGTATTTATCACATTTTTACTGCATTTTTAAAAAATTAACACTAACATGCAAATATATGTTTCATTTTTATACGACCAGTTACATTTTTATTCCTATGAGTAGTTGTCATAGGGGCCCCAGTATGTTGCTTTTCCTGTGGCCCATAATTTATTTATTTATTTATTTAATTTATATTGCCGCCTATTTGCCCATGGCGACGCGAGGCGGCTTACACAATGTAAAACCATATTTAAAAAACAATAAAAACTAACAAAAAGAATGAAATAAATTAATAAAGTACAATAGAACAAAATTTGGAAGAAAAAAAAGCAACCCAACTCCCACCCCCGCCCCAACGACAGGGGATCACACTAGCCATTTGATGGGCTCCATCCTTCTCTGGGTTCCCCAGGCCCGCTGGCAAAACCAGGTCTTCGGTGCCTTTCGGAAGAGTGCTAGAGTGGGGGTCATTCTAATCTCTGGGGGAATGATGTTCCAGAGAGAGGGAGCCACCACAGAGAAGGCCTTTCTTCTGGATCCCACCAGGTGTATCTTCCTCAGGGGTGGGACCCCGCAACATTCCCTGCCTCCTCGCTCTAATGGGTTGGGTCATCTTAATGCTCTTAAGACAGCCCTGCCAGTCAGGATTGAACTCCTGGAAGTCGGCAGAAATAGCCTGCAATATCAGTACGACATTCTAAACACTGTTGCACCACCACTTGATTGAGCCAGCTTGAGTGATAGGCAGAAATCCACGGGGAATGAGAAGGGGCTTTTGGGCGGTCTCCTTGAAGTTCTGAGATTGTGACCAGTCTTTATTTAATTTCATTTCTCTCTTTCCTTTCTTTTGGAAGCTCAGGGTGGTGCCTGGGGGGATTATTTCATCCTCCCAGCAGCTATCTGATAAAGTAGATTGGGTTGAGAGAATATAGAACAGTGGCCCCCAACCTTTCCAGCTTGGTGGCCCAGCGTGGGAGGGTGGGGTGCTGTGAGTGGCAGGCACATGTGTCCTCCACTCGCACGAACGCAGTTTCGTGTGAAGCTCCACTCAAATGAGTGGAGGATGCTTGCGCTCGTATGCAAAGCTCCATTTGTGTGAATGGAGTTTTTGCGCGCGACTGCAAGCGCCCACCTTTGCATACATGCGCTTGCCTGCCACTTGTGTGAGTGGAGCTTCGTAAGTGCACGCTTGCCCGTTGCTCGTGCAGCCCAATTTTGAACAGGCCATGGCCTGGTAATGGGCCGTGGCCCAGGAATTGGGGACCCCTGATATAGAACATGGTGTCATGCCCCTGGTAGAGACTGACTCTGAGGGAGAGGAGGAACAGTCGACAAGGAGTGGAAGTGTGGCTCCGAAGGTTGTGGAGGAGGCTGGAGAAGGGCAGAGGCCGGCTGGGCAGTCAGACGAGGACCCAGGCCCATCCCCTCCCCATCCTAGAGCTCGCAGGGAGGAGATTATAAGGGAGATACGTGGTCTACTGGGGAGGAGAGGACCTTGATCCTCTTCATAGGCTGCAGCTGTAACAACTGGATAAGAGGACGGACATGCGTACGGGCAAGTGCTGGAAACAAAGCATGGAAATATCTCTAGTTTATTGTTCCTCTCTGAGTTTGGCGTCCTTCCCAGTGTGCGTTCCGATATCTGTGGACGTCTTCAAGCCCTTATCTTGCCTGGTTTGTGTTGTTTTTTACTCTTTATAATTTAAACGGCATTTCCTCCTTCTTGTAACTGCTTGTGTGGGAGTTTTTTGTCTCCAGTCAAGGATATTTGGAGCTTGGAAGCAAAGTGAAGGAATAAAAGGGGCTTCACCTGTTTTTTGCGACTGTGTTTATTTTGTATCCCATCCTGGGTCATCACACATAGAATCACAGAGCTGGAAGGGACCTTGGAGGTCTTCTAGTCCAACCCCCTGCTCAAGGCAAGAGGCCTTACACCATCTTGGTCAAATGGTTGTCCAGTCTATGTTTGAATTTATACTCAAAAATCACATTTCGGTCCTCCTGGTTTCTGTCCAACATTTCAGTTCTCATTCACACCAGTAATTCTGTGAACAATCATTGGGACTGGAGCCTACGTATATTGGTATCAGTGGGAGAAAATGTAGAGCCTTCTTGCACGTCGTTTCTGTATCTGAGTCAATGTTGGCCCCTTTTCCCCATGTTTATTCGCATCCCAGATTTTTTTCAACTTCATCCAACATTTTGTACTTTAAACTAATTTTAGCTGTATTCCTAGAAAAAGAAGTAAGCTGGTATAGAAGTAGGGCAGCTAATCAGGGCTCATTTTCTCTGCTCCCAATTTAGTCGCCATGGAATTAATTCCCATCTCCCAACAACCCCAGGAGATTCCAGTGCTTCCCCAACCCTTCAAACAGCCCTTTTCTCTCCTTCCCCCTAAAATCACACATACAGTCTGTGCATTTGTCCATCTGAATTTTGTTGCTAGTTGCGAAGTCGTGTCCGACTCATCGCAACCCCATGGACAATGTTCCTCCAGGCCTTCCTGTCCTCTACCATCTTCTGGAGTCCATTTAAGCTCACGCCGACTGCTTAAGTGACTCCATCTAGCCACCTCATTCTCTGTCGTCCCCTTCTTCTATTGTCCTCAATCTTTCCCAGCATTAGGCTCTTCTCCAGCGAGTCCTTCCTTCTCATTAGGTGGCCAAAGTATTTGAGTTTCATCTTCAGCACCTGGCCTCCTAAAGGGTTGATCTCCTCTAGGACTGACCGGTTGGATTGCCTTGCAGTCCAAGGGACTCGCGGGAGTCTTCTCCAGCATCTGAATTCATGCATGTATATTTGCCCGATCATCTATAAAACATTCCTCCTGAACAGCTAATAGGTTAATCAATCCAGAGAAGCCTCAAAAATCTTCTGAACTGGGATGTGTACATTAACCCAAAAATCTTGGAAGAGCTGTACACTACCAAAAATGGTGTTTGAGGAATTCAGAGGGGGGAAAAAATGAGATTTCACTAAAAAAAGACTTGAGTAAAAGATCCTATGTGATTCTTACAACTACATCTGAAGCAAAATCAATATATGCTTATGTATTCTTTCTGAAATTCTTAAACGCTACACACTCTGTAATCTCGTAAATAACACTGGAACCCACAGAATTTTGTTTGTGGATTCCAAAGAAATTCTTGGCAGGAAAAGCTGTAAGCCAGGCAAGCAGGGAGGCTGTGGCTTTACTGATACTAACCCTTATTCATTCTCCCAGGCTGCACATGTAATGAACAGGGCACTTTGCCCACCTACTGCTCCGAAGGCATCTGCCATTGCGATCAAACTACAGGCCATTGCCCCTGCCGTGCCAATGTGGTGGAAAAGAACTGCGACAGATGTGCCCAGAACTTCTGGGGTTTCGGCAGCGACTTGGGCTGCCAGCCATGTAACTGTGATCCGACCCATTCGTTACGCGCAGACTGCAACATGGTAAGGGACCAAGACCTTGGAAAGTTAACCCCAAATGAGAGGTGCTAAAACAGGCACAGTGACTTTGGGGCTTCTGGTATATTACTGCCCTCATTCTAAATGGCCTTTTTTTTTTTTTTTTACTCAGTTTACAGGGCAGTGCCACTGCCAGCCAGGTTTTGGAGGTCGTGTTTGTTCTCATTGCCAAGAAAATCACTGGGGCGACCCAGAAGAGCAGTGCTTAGGTAAATATGAGCATCGAATGTAATCAGACACTTTCTGCCAACAATACAATGTGCACACACAAAACAGCTTATTGAAAACCCTATCAGATTAAGAGTTGGATGTTTGGGAGGTTGTTCTCATGGGAATGAGTTCAGACTTGTGCCGGATTGTAAACCAGCTTTCCCCGATCTGGTATATTAGATTTCTCCTGCCATCATTCTCATTTGAATCAAAACTCTTAGATTCGAATCAAAGCTAGAAAATGGAAATATAAAAAATGAAAATGTGAAATATTTCATATAATTGTAGGCTTCTAATGAGAGATTGGAATATATTAGTTGTATGATTTTCTTTATTGTGTTACTTATTTATATTAAATAAACATTGAGTTTAAATGTCGTGTTCGCAATTTTAAAAAAGAATTGAAGCTGCACACTTGGGGAAGATACCAAATTGGTGTCTTGCTGTAACCTCCATCTCCTATCAAACCTATTCTGTAATGTAGTAATTGACCCAAAAGATAAAAAATAATATTAACAATTATATACAAT